TAATTCAAAACGTTGGTCAAAGTTGGTAAAAATGGAACTAATATTTGCTTAAAATTGAAGGTCAAAGTTAGTAAAATTTGGTCAAAGTTTGAGATAAAAGATGGTCAAAGTTATGAAATTGTTTGCAATTTTAACAATTTCTAAGCTTTGGTCATGCATGTTTGCACTGAAACAATTGCAAGCCTTTGCTTATTTTGGTCGAAAATGTATTAGCTTTGGAAAATATTTTGACCCCCTCCCCGTCGACAACATTTTCGGGAAACATTTCTACTACTTGGTCAAAATTCTAGGAAAAGTTGGTCGAAACATGACAACACCCCGCCCCCACCCCCCCACCCCCCAATGTTGATGTCTTGAACCTCAGTGTTGATGTTGATTTCTTCAATTTTAGAACCATACTCTATGTATCAATTATATATGGAATAGGAAATGTAATTGTAGCTGTAACCGCTGTGCCATCTATACTGGACTCTGTTAAATTGTAAGTACTGCAGATAACTGTAAAAATGTAGAGATGCTGGTACTGCACACAAACACATTGTTAGGTGCAAGTACTTTGCATGTCTGATCATAATTTCACCTCAGTTGCAGGGTGCTTCTACAGTATTTTTTGCTGGGTACTCTCTATTTGTTTCATATAATAATAGCACTGGAATTATCTAAATATATTGTTGCACATTTGTTCTTTACAGAGCCGGACCTATGGTGGGTTTATTTCTAATAGCATTGGGAACGGGAGGGATTAAGCCTTGTGTCTCTGCATTTGGAGGAGATCAATTTGGCCCACACCAGGTACAGCAATTTCACAACATTCGTGACATATTACAACTAAATAAACTTAATCATGTACTGTAACATACCGTACTGTATATGTTTATAATTGCCATTGCCGCCCAGTTAGTAGTCATTTCCTATAGGATTAGTACAGTACAGACTCCTATATAGGAATTTCTTTAGGAATAGCATTCTTCAAAGAAATTCCTTTAGGAATAGTCTGAAATTCCTATAATCTTGAGTGGTCTGTGTTGGCAATA